GTTAGATTAGAAAAGGCTACTCAGAAACTTTAAATAAATCTGGAGAATTATTAAAGACATGTTGTATTCTAAAGAAATTAAGGCTTAATAGATAGCAATTGGAAAAGATAGTTTAAAATCTTTAAATGAGTTTTTAAGAAATTGTTATAAAATATTCATTGGTTAAGTATCTTTTTTGGAACATCTAATGATGATTTAAATCCTTTAAGTAAGATTCTATAAGGAGATAATGATCCAGATGTACCCAGACAGCTAAGAAGGTAGACAAGTTCTATAATTAGAGGAGATGATTCAGCATCATCAAGATATATTGACTATACAAAACCATGGGAAGCTTATGTACTCCCCACAAAGCATAGTCCGACTTCAGTGCTATGGCAGAAGGAACCATTACTATGGTTGCGCCTAAATATTTTAAACCCTTATTTTAAAGCATTAGCCTACATGGTAGAGAAATGCCATATAGATTCTAGAAAGTATTTTAGGAGAAAACCAAGTATGATACATGTCCCCTATGCTAAGCAGCAGTTTCATTGGTTATTTCAGAACAATGAGTCATGGACAATTGCCTTTGCTCAGTTTTCAGAATATAAAAATATGCTATGTTAATTTTTACCAATGGTTCTATTGGGAGAGTCACTTACATAGATTATTAATTAAAAGGAATGGATAGAACAGACAGCTCTGGCTTCAGCTCAAATAACCAAATTACAAGCTGTTACAATGGTCTTACACATCCTGGTAAATAATTCATTTAATTGGTATACTGACAGTCACTATGTCTAAGGCTTATAAGATAATAGATACAGTCCCATGCACAGGGTCTAGTAATATTCAAGTCAGAAAGTTTTTTGAACAAATTCAAAATGTTATTCACCTAAGAGAATTATCATGTTTATGGGTAATGAATTAACTAATTAACAAAATTGGTTGATTTGCCTTAAATATAAAAAGCTCGACAGGCTTGTAACTTTCTTCATCATAATAGCAAGTCTAAGAAAGAAATTTGGCTTAACCAGAGAGACTGCTGGTCAAATCATCAAACAATGTGGAATATGTCCACAATATGGCTATGGCTAATTTAAGGGTGAATCTTCAAGGCCTGTTCCCCAACCATTTATGGCGAATGGATGTGAATCACATTACAGAGGTTGGCAAGTTAAAAATGTGCCACTCCACTAACAGGAGAAGCCACCAGGCATGTTATAAGTCACTGTTTAAGATGTTTTGCTTACATGGGAGTGCCAAAAGTTATAAAAACAGATAATGGGTCTGGATATACTAGCAAAGCTTTCCAGCAATTTTGTGATTAATGGAAAATTGATCAAAAAACATGTATTCCTTATATCCCCAAGAACAAGGAATAAGAGAGCGGGCCCATAGTGCCCTAAAGCACAGCTTCTAAGACAAAAAGGGGGGAGCTGTGCCCCCAGTCTCCACATGATGCGTTAAATCACACACTGTTTATCTTAAACTTTTTAAATATGGATGCCAATGAGCAATCTGATGCAGACAGATTCTGGCATGAAGGAACTCGAGCAAATTTTGCTCAGGTCAAATGGAGAGAAAAATAGAGGGGACCAGACCCCGTAATTATTTGGGGGTCGAGGGCATGTCTGTGTTTTCTTGCAGGAGGAGAACGAGGTGCACTGGCTACCAGAAAGATTGGTGAGATGCATGGAACTGAGAAAAATGGGACCTGGGCCCACAGGGGACCATCTGAAACAGCTGGAGTGAAACACTGGACCTGTGTTCCTGAACCTTGAGGACATCTGACCTACAGCGGAGGAAGAAAGGAGACACACCCAGTTCCAGTTTCGAGATGCTTTCCAGAGTTCCAGCCTCCCTACAGACGGGCTACATTCACCTCTCCGAATCCGTGAGTGCTCATCCAGGAGCAGACTAAGAACTTGATAAAAAAACAGCTTGCTTTCTTGCCACAAACAGACACACAAAACTGTTTTGCCAGTTTTCTCATTGGGAAAAAGGACCCATTTAGGACAGTCGGATACTGGCATAAACCAAAGTGGCAGAAGCTCCTTCACAATGCTTAAACAAGAAATGGACAAAAGACTTTTTAGTTACCTTTCAAAGACTGTTTTTACAAACCTGATGTTAGAACTTCGGACTTTGAGCAAAAAATAGATAAGTTTCTAGGGGCATTGAGTCCCAGGTAGGGAATAAAAGAGGGTTTACAATTGTGAAATTGTTCACACCTCACAGATTGTGAGAATATCTTATTGTCTTTTGATTGCTTTGTAACTCACCCTAATGTATGTTCATGATGGAATTGTTAATGTTTGTAATCTTGCTATATGTGTTATGTAATTGTTATTAGAAACTAGAAGTCAGAGCTCATTCTTACAGGAATGTAACGTACAGTTTACAAGCCTTAGGATAGAAATATGTTTTAGGGAGCAAACTTTAATAAGGTCCGTATCAGAGGCACTAGAGGCATTGCCACAGATTTTAAAAAGGCCATTTTAACTTTTACATGTCTTCATCCGCAGAAGATTTGCTGCCAAGCTGAGATGCTTTTCTCCTGTAGGTTTCTTGCTGATTCAGAACACTTGGAGCAGGACTATGGCCCATCCTCCACTAACCTTATTTGTTTTACAGAGACTGGTTTCAGCCAAAGACGGTAGGGTTTTCCTTGCCTTCAGGGAATCCTAAGACAGAACACGCATGATGGAATGCGTGATTCCATGACGGGCACCCCTGGTGTAGGTTGAAGGGAGCTCCTAAAACAGGCACAGTCATCTGTCCTGATGCAGAAGCACAGGTTTCTTTTTATTAATTTAAGAGAGAGGAATTGTGGGGGACCAAAGTCTTTCCGCTACGGATTTTATTTTGAGATCCGGCTTTGGTTTCACTAAACATGGAGCACCAGAAAGTTCCGGCACACTATTGTATTGTTAATGCCAGTAAAGCTAATACTGTTTACCATGGCCTCAGGGTAATATGCCTCCTAATTTGCATCTTTATGCGCCTAAGCATCTGAGTAGGCCCTCACCTGGACAGAGGAGCCAGAGGTGTGTGAATAACTTGTGAGGACAGAAAGTTAGGAAGGAGGAGAGGCAAGCAGCCAGAGCAGAGAGAGAACAAAGAGGAAAATGGTTTTCCTCGTGGTATTGGCAGGATGGTTAAGAAACAGCAGAAAA